CTCTGTTTTCCCTGTTTGATCCTCACAACAACACTGTGAGGCAGGTCAGGCTGAGGGGGGAGGGAACGACTGGTCCAGGGTCACCCACCAAACTTATTGGCAGAGCGGGGATTGCAAACCAGTCGCTTCCACGATATAAATTACACATTTCTCGCTTGTCAGCTGACAACGCCACAAAGGTTGAAATCAAGATCGGATCTACAGTTTTGCTTTGAACTGTCCATCGTTTGGATCATCCGATATAAGACTTCAGTATTGTTTACAGCTTTCATTAAAAAAAAAAAGCAAGTTAGCCTTCCCACCCACCCCAGTCCAGGGATCCCCAATCGTTTTATATAATGCTGATATGTTGCTGCTCAGATATTATGAGAAAGTTTGGCATTAAAAAACCCACAAAATGGAGAACTAGAGAATTCTGGGCACGCCAGGGAGACGGGCTAGCGAGAAAATAGAACTAGTTCCCACTAAAATCTGGGAGACGGCAATCGAAAGAGCCTCTGAGTGTGTGCAGAGTTCCCCCTTCCAAAGCTCTACCTGTTTACCCATGGATAAAGGTACAGGTTTCCCGTGTTCGAAAGCCGGTCGAATTCGCCTCTAGGGGGCGGTGCTCATCTCTGTTTCCAAGCCGAAGGGCCAGCGCTGTCCAAAAACATTTTCGTGGCCATGTGGCTGGCATGACTAAATGCCGAGGCGCACGGAACGCTGTTACCTTCCCACCGTAGCGGTACCTATTTATCCACTTGCAATTTCTTGCTTTCGAACTGCTGGGTTGGCAGGAGCTGGGGCCAGAGACGGAAGCTCACTCTGTCACGCGGCACTCGGGTCTCGAACTACCGACCTTCCGGTCTGCAGCTCAGCGTCTTAACCTCTGAGCCACTGTGGCCCCTTTACCCATGGATAGGCAGGCACACACATTTGAAAGGAGCAGCCCCCAAAGCCTCAAGGATCTGGCTTTGTGCTGGCATGGCACCCGCCACATCTCTCCTTTTAGTACTTAACCCGTGACTGTCAGCCTTCCAGCCACCTTCAGTTTCACCTCTACCTCCGAGCCCCCTCTGGGCATTCTAATTCTCAGCTTTTTATCAAAGCCACCCCAATCCCTCCAGCGGATTCAAAGACGGAAAGCCAGGGCCCTTCCGGCAGCGAGATAACCCAGCTAAAAATGGGTCCGTGTTGCCAAAGAGCGTGATGCCACCCTCGTGCCCCCCCGGGCGGCCGTCTCTCTGCTATCAAGAGGAGCGCTAAACCCCAGTCCGAGGGAGATTAAAAACGACACAAGTCCCTTTATCCGCCCGGGCATCTCTACCAAGTCCTACATTTCCTCCGTTTCCCTGTAATTGCCTCCCAAGCCCCGATGTGCATTTGACGGCAGAGTCTTATTTCTCTCCCTCCTCCCTTTTAAAAACATTTTTTTGAGAAAAGATGGAACACAGCTGGAACCGTGAGCCGTACCAGAAAGAAGCCGGCTGTTTTATTGTGTGCGGGCTTCAGCCCGCGGAGGTCGGCCAATCTGCTTGTCAAGGAAACAGATTTCCTGTGAAAAAGTAATAAATAATTGAGAGGGTGGGGAGGCAGGAGGGATGACGGGCAGAGGTCCCCAGCAGATACCAGCTCACTTCTGAAGAGGGAGAGAGGGTTTTTTGGACCACCGAGAACGGTCTGACTGGAATTATCTGACAAAGAAAGAAACCGGGGCCATGCCTCGAAAATTTAGCCATCCGGATTTCAAGTAGTGCTTGACAACATTCTGAGCAGACCATTGACCGATGAGGAGGCCGTGGCTTGGTGGCCGAGCCCGTGATGTGGGCCCCGTTTTCATAGGGTTGCCAGCCTCCAGGTGGGGCCTGGAGATCTCATGGAGTTACAGCTGCTCGCCAGATAACAGAGATCAGCAGCCCTGGAGAAAATGGCGGCTATGGAGGGTGGACTCTGTGACAGGGGTGTCAAACATGTGGCCCGGGGGCCGGATCAGGCCCCCGGAGGGCTCCCATCAGCCCCGCAGTGGAACTGGCCATCTCCTGCTTCCAGTTCTGCTGCTGCTCCTGCATCATAGCTCGCTTTTCCAGACTCTCTCAATCGCTCAGCCATTTCATGTTTTAACCTGGGTCCTCGACTCAGAACTCTGAGCATGAGATTTCTGTGGTGAATGTCGATAGAGCAAAAGTAAAGATGTGAAGGCCCGGAAAAAAACCAGATAAATTTGGGGGGGAAACAGGTTTTTTCCTGAAGCCTTTTTTGTTTTGTTTTTGTTTTGTTTTAAATTGAAAAAATTGAAAATAGAAAAGAAATTTTAACATGATGAATAAAATATTTTAAGACAAGGTGTTCAAACATTTTCCAAATCTTTTCTAAAAAATATGTATGGTATCAGATTGATCTAATTTCTGTGCATTGAGGACAAGCAAGTCCTAGGTTACAAACTGAACTCTCCAATGCAAGAACAAAATGCATTTCTTCCTTTAGGAGGTGCTGTTGTCACGAGAAAAGAAAAAGGTTTCAGCTTTGTTTTTGCATGTGAGTGGGTATTCTGTTTGTAATAACTGTTTGGATACACTATATTTTTAATATGCTAGTTGTGATAATTTCATGCCAAGTTAAAATGTCCATAGTCATATTTTATGTTCTTAAAGTAACAGAATGACTTTCAATCTGGAAAAGAAAAAAGAAGTGCAAGTGTAGCATTTCTTTCAATTTTTCCGAAAATTTCCTCCTCCCCCCGAAAAAAACGGGGGGGAAACCGAGTTTTTTTTCCTAGCTTCAATACTTCCGGAAATTTTACATCTGTAATCAAAAGTAGGTTTGCAGCTCACAGAGCTAATGTTTTAAGCATGTTTTTATTTTAAGTTTAAATTTTTTTTTGTGTTAGTGTCCTTTATAAAGTTTATCTCTTCGCTACCTGGCATTACATTTCATGACACACGTGGCCCGGCCCCAAATGGTCTCATTTGTGTCAGATCTGGCCCTCATAACAAATGAGTTCGACATCCCTGCTCTATGACATTAGACCCAGCTGAGGTCCCTCTCCTCCCTAAACCCCACTGTCCCCAGGGTCTACCTGCCCTTCAGATCTCCAGGAAAACCCAGAGCTGGCAACCCTAGGACCCCATAACATCCTAAATTCAATCCCCGGCAACTCCAGTTAATGTGTTTCAGATGCTGGGAAAGACCTTTGTCTGCTGAGACTTCCACTGCCACCATCTAGCAAGACAAAGCTACTGCAAACACAGCTTCACCAGACACCTGGGGTTGTCAGCTCCGGGTTGGGAGGTTCCTGGAGATTTCGGGGGTGGAACTTGGGGCGGGGAGGAACCTCAGTGCGATATCATGCCATAAAGCCCACCTTCCATAGCGGCTCTTTTCTCCAGTGAAACTGATCTCAGAGGTCCATCGGTGGCTAGTAGCCACAAGGGACTAGTGATGCTCTGTATTCTTGGTGCATGGGGTGGGGGGCAGCAGTGTGTGTGTGGGGTTCTAGTGTCCTGGCCCCACTGCTGGACCTCCTGAGGACACCTGGCATTTCTGGCCACTGTGTGACAGAGTGTTGGACTGGACGGGCCATTGGCCTGATCCAACATTGGCTTCTCTTATGTTCTTATGTTGGTGACCAGGTCTGGGTTGGGAGATTCCTGGAGATTTTGGGGGTGGAGCCTGGGGAGGGCGGGGTTTGGGGCAGGAGGGAGGGGGGGTCAGTCGTAAATTCCAGGAGATCTCCAGCCCTCACTTGGAGACTGGCAACTCTAGCACAGCACACAGCTAGGAATTGAGGGGAACCTTCAGTTTGGTGCAGTGGTTCAGAGTGTGGACTCTAATCTGGGAGAACCAGGTTTGATTTCCCCACTCCTCCACATGCAGCTGCCGGTATGACCTTGGGTCAGTCATAAGTTCTTTCGGAGCTGTTCTCTCAAGGGCAGTTCTCGAGGGAGCTCTCTCAGCCCCACCTACCTCACCGGGTGTCTGTGGTGGGGAGGGGAAGGGAAAAGAGTCTTTGAGCCACTCTGAGACACCTTTGGGTAGTGAAGGGCGGGGAATAAATCTAATCTCTTCTTCTTCATGAATGGTCAAAACACAGAGTGGGGAACCAGCCACAATTTGTGCAGACTGTACCTTAGGAATCCGCCCCAGAGGGACAAAACGTTTTATTGAGGGGTGGGGGATTAAAATCACTGGGTCTTTCCTTTCCAGACAGACCCTCCACTAGCCGGGCTTCTCTGCCGTATACCTGTCCAGCCGAGAATAAGACAGGCCCCGTTAAGCGAGCGCCAGTAATTTTACAATTTTGTTTTATTAGGAAACCTTACGGGCTCCAGCTCAGGGGCTCCGGCTGTTAAAATCAATGTTTTCACATAAAAGGCAACTCATACAAACCTTTGTGTTTTCCAGGGGACCATAAACATCACCGGATAGAACAATCCTGCTCCGCCTGGGCTTTCTCCTTTGGCGTGGGCCATTAAAAATGCACTTAATTTATGGCTCCTTGAAACCTTCCCCCAGCTTTTCCATTACTAGGCCATACGCCCTACAGGCCTCGGTTCCTCAAGCGGGCAACTCCCTGCTACCTTGAGAGACTGCCTGGTGAGGTTTGCCAGCATCTCCTGTCCCCCCTCCCCATTCTTCACCACAAGAGAGAAGAAGAAATTGGATTTGTACCCCGCCCTTCACTACCCAGAGGAGTCTCAGAGCGGCTGACAAACTCCTTTCCCTTCCCCTCCCCACAATAGACACCCTGTGAGGCAGGTGGGGTTGAGAGAGCTCTGACAGAAAACTGCTCTTTTTCAAGGACAGCTCTGACAGAACTACGGCGTGCCCAAGGTCATCCAGCAGGTGCGAGTGGAGGAGTAAGAGACCCCCCCCCCAGGATGGATGGCTCACGACTCCAAGGCGGGCAATGGGAAACCACCTCTGAACGTCTCTTCCCTCGAACACCCTACAGGGCTGCCGTAAGTCAGCTGCGACTTGGATGGCACTTTCCACCAATAATCTGTGTTCCTTCCTGTTTCCAGAAAAGATGGACACCTTCAGCACAAAGAATCTGGCTCTCCAAGCGCAGAAGAAACTCCTGAGCAAGATGGCGTCCAAGAACATGGCGAGCATTTTCATCGACGACACCAGCAGCGAGATTCTGGACGAGCTCTACCGGGTCACCAAGGAGTTCACCCGTAACCGCAAGGAATCCCAAAAGATCATCAAGAACTTGATCAAGATCGTCATGAAGCTGGGTGTCCTCTACCGCAACGGACAGTTCAACGCGGACGAGCTGCTACTGATGGACCGCTTCCGCAAGAAGGTCCACACCCTGGCCATGACAGCCGTCAGCTTCTACCAGATAGACTTCACGTTTGACCGCCGGGTCATGTCCGGCATGCTCAACGAGTGCCGCGACCTCCTGCACCAGGCGGTCAACACCCACCTAACAGCCAAGTCCCACAGTCGCATCAACCACGTTTTCAACCACTTTGCGGACTTCGAGTTCCTCTCGGCGCTCTATGGAACTTCTGAGCCATACCGCACGCACCTGCAGAGGATTTGCGACGGGCTCAACCGGATGCTAGATGAGGACAACATATAAGTGTAAAGACTCACGCTGGCTTGGGCAGGTTTTGTTCCGGGCGTGAGCCGGGCGAACATCAAGCTATGCCCGTCGACTTGGACGGCGTCCACTTTGTACCTCTGTCTCTCTACAGGGCTAAAATCGCATCCTCTTCCATCGGTTTTGCAATGTTTCGGGGCTCCTTGCTCAGACAGCGGCAGCTGGGATCTCTCCCTTTTCCCTCCCCTCAGATTAAATCCGTTCTGCAAACAGCTTGCTCCTCCACCAGATGGAACCGAGGGAAGGAAAACAGTTACGAGCCTCTGTGGATTTGCTAATCCCGGGCCTTGAATAACAGTCACCTCTGTAGATCACGGTGAAGGTCCATGTAAACCAAGAATTCTGGCCTGTATCCTACCACAAAGAAGAAAAAAGGGGGGAAAAAACTGAACCTAAACCTAGAATTCAGAACCTAAAAAGGTTAGTCAGGAGTAGAAAAGGGCCAACTCTAAAACTCTAATTATAAAACATACAAAAATATATATGTAGTTATTCAACATAAATTAAAATAACAAACAAGGGCCCATTCAAACCTCATATACAAATACAAAAACATACAAGGGCTAATAAGATAGACCTAAACATACAAGGGCTAATAAGATAGACCTAACGCATTTCGGCCTTTACAGGCCTTCCTCAGAGGTCTAATACAGACAGAACATATTGGCTATGCAAAAATACGTACAATCTTACATATACAAAATATGGAATAAAGACCAGAAACCAATTGTTCCAAAGTTTAACCACTGGGCAAGGAAAAGAAATACAAAAATACAAATGAAGCCTCCAGTGTAATCACATGTCCAGTGGTACATCTCTCTGGTCAACTGTATATTCTTCTGAGATTGTACAGCCAAATGTTCCCAATCAAATGTTCCTTAGGTCCCTTGTGGTTTGTTTCCAGCATGTGGAATCTGACAGGTAGACTGCCTCTGAACGTGGAAGCTCGATTTAGCTATCACAGCCACTGAAAGGTTTCTTTTCCACGAGTGGAGTCCGGTTGGATGAGACCATCTCTCCCGACTTCCTGTTTCCGACAGCACTCATCCAAACGTGTCTGGTAAGCGTGGCGCAAAGGCTGTGGTTCTCTTTTAAGGGCTTAATTTGGTATTCAGAGATAGACTACCCCTCAACATGGAGGTTTTATGTAAGGAGTGCAAACAATGGCTGTAGACCGACTTCTCTGTGAAGTTGTCTAAGGTAGCGAGATGGTCAAAACATCAGGGAGGGGGGCCAAACCTACTCAGCCGCAATCATTGACTCAATGTGATTTAAAAGGACTAATGAAAATTGTCCTTTAAACCTTGCATTCTGTTTTAGACTGGGTCCAACCTAAGAGAGAAGAGAAGAGATTGGATTTCTACACCGCTC